CATGAATGCTTGTGTATATACTAAAATACCAGCTGACAAGATGACTCTCAGTCTCAGAAGCACTGAAAAACAGAAATATTCCAGCATGATGACAATTCAAAGCACAAAAAAGTTTTCAGTTGAAAAAAAAAAAAAAAAAAAAAAAGACAAAAACTGTGACCTGACCAATGAAGTTGCCTGACTTGAAATCAATAGAAAAGCTTCGGGGTATTTTGAAAAGAGCGGTGAAGGAACACAACCTCTTCAGCAAAGATCTGGCAGAGGAGGTTCGAGGTTACTGAATAGATAAAAGACATCAATTTTTCAGTGAACTGATTTTCGTTGCATTGTCTGCCTAATGTGGGGAGTGTATTTTTAATCAAGTAAATCCAAATATTTTTTTTGTAATTTGACACAAGAGCAAATGCCCTACTGGTCACATTAGGAGTAACGCACTTCTTTAATAATTTGACATTAACATAATACGACATTGCACAGTGGTGTATTTACTTCTGCTACATGCTGTACGTATTTAATGCGCCTTCCACAGTCCAAAAACATGTTGATTGGTGATTCTAAATTGTCTGTAGGTGTGAATGTGAGTGTGCTTGGTTGTCTGTCTCTAAGTGTAGCCCTGTGATAGACTGGTGACCTGTCCAGGGTGTCTCCTGCCTTCACCCTAAGTCAGCTGGGATAGACTCCAGCCCCCCCGCTACCCTAGTGAGGATTAAGCGGTGTATAGATGATGGATGGAAGTCGGCCACACAATAGAGAAAGCCGGGACCAAGTTGAACAGAAATCTAGCCATCATGCATTGTGTGTTGGTCGCCGGTGATCAAATCTGCGCGGGTCTGTGTCATCTCGAACAAGCTGGTTGGTAAACTGTAACTCCAAGGTGGAAATGTGCAGCCACTGAGCTGACTTCCTATTTTGCTCACTACGTGTTTTCACGTACTTAAACAAAGGAACGTGGTAACAAGCTAACAACTTGATTTTCACCAGATGGGGGTAGAAGTAACAAAAAGATCATTGAAATGGCTACGAAAGATTAAAAAATAATGACTAAATAGCTGCAAAAGCTCAGAGTCATGGTAACTAACTGAACAAGAAGTTGATAAAATAGTTAGACTATTTAATGGATCTATAATTGCTAAATTACTCGATCAACGATTGACATTGTCACTGGCTAAACGTTATTAATAATAGTGAGTAATTTAAACAGTTAACTAACAGTACGATGACAAAGTGGTGAATTTGCAAAAAAGTACAGTGGAAACGACACTAGCCAGCTTAATGTAATTGAAACATAAAACTAGCTGATCATAAGCTGAAACAGCTTCGTATTGGAGAAATAGTTTAAGTACTTGACCAAGTGTAAAAAAAAATTAAAACTGCTGCAAGTCACCAGACAAATGTTTCACAGATTACTTTTAAAACCACACATTGCAATGGGGGATCCACCTCACAGCTGCTCTAGTGGTGTTTTAACCTGGTGGTTAAAGCCAAAAGCTGCGCTCCTGTGTCCTCCACCTGTACGGGACTCTTATGATGTCAGCTACTTTAATGGGAGCTGAATATGCTCATTCCCCCCTGAGGGTCACTTTGGTATTTTTAGTGTTTATGATATAAAAAGAGGTGAGAATCAACAGGGATGCCCAGGGTGAGAGAGGCCATTGTGTGTGCTTGTTTCTCTTTTTTTTTTTTAATCATTTGCAACAAGGACATTCCTGAAACTGATGGTTATTTTAGGGCTCGCACAACTGCATAATTGATTGTATTAAAATATAAAACCCTCTTATCTTTGCTTGCTTTAATGGCCTATACGTTCCATGAATAATTGAAAAACATAATTGCAAGAACTAGCGCACATGCAAGCACAAACATATTTTTATCTGTGTACATGCATGATTTGTAAATTATTTATTGTGGCCTCTAAGTATTTTTTATCAGCGAGGCGCAAAATCAAAAAGCTATTCAGTTTAACACTTGCCAAGTCAATTTATTCGACTATGTGTTTTCAGTAAACCGAAGGCTTTTTTTTGGAATGTTGCGGTAATTGAAAAGTTGAAGTGTTTTAAAAGTTTAATTGCTACCGTGGCCCTTAGTAGAATGACAAATCATCTTAAATGTGAACACAGCATCAGCCTTCACAAATAATAGGGTGGGATCCTATTTTCAAGATTGTTCTTTCTGTATCTATTCTCAAACACCAGCTATATTGATGTACTGACATTCATTCTGAGTGCTCCATTTTCACTTTTATTATCAGTTATGCAATTTATTTGACTATTGTTGTATGACTTTTGGAATATTTGACATATGGCATTGCTATTATAATGAATATAATCTGTCATCGTGCAAGTAGTTTAACGCAGCTTTATTGTAACCACAGACATTGCATTCTCTAACCTTAAATTTTACGATTGGAATATCCATTTTTAGTGTTGTGTATATTTGTTTAACAACTAAGACACTGCAAGGAAAACCTGTAAGATCTGTAAGGTTGTGTCCTTACGAGACGTACTTTTAAGTAAAGACTAAGTAGAATTCAAATTACATTTAAAGGTGGTTTTCAAAGTCAAGTGTTTTTATTTATCCGTGCTTGTCACACACCCAGAACGAGTACACAAAACACAAGGTTAAGTATGAGCTAAGGACTGAAAAAAACATACCGTCTGGCAGAAACATCAACAATTTCAATATATGTGTGATTGTAAATTTTATATTTCTATATTGGGCAGCAAGTAGATAATATGATATGAACAGACTCCATCAGAGTATCAGCTCTCCAGAATTGCTATGATGGGAAAAAAAAAAAAAAAAAAAAAAGACAAAAACTGTGACCTGACCAATGAAGTTGCCTGACTTGAAATCAATAGAAAAGCTTCAGGGTATTTTGAAAAGAGCGGTGAAGGAACACAACCTCTTCAGCAAAGATCTGGCAGAGGAGGTTCGAGGTTACTGAATAGATAAAAGACATCAATNTTGTAAATTTTATATTTCTATATTGGGCAGCAAGTAGATAATATGATATGAACAGACTCCATCAGAGTATCAGCTCTCCAGAATTGCTATGATGGAAAAAAAAACAAAAAACGGTTTTATCGACTAGTTGGCTGTTGACTTCCTCAGAAAAGCAATGAAAAGCAGCTAAATTCCTGGCACAGGGTTCTTTGTGCTCCTTAGGAGCTCTCCCTTTCCTTATATGCTTCTCACTCTATAGACATGCTGCCATTTCCCCATTCCAGCTACCCGCACAATAATCAGTATTTCTGCCTCTATGACATGAAAACAAACTAAGACTGAGTGCCTCTGCATGTGTGTGGTTTTAAACCCCACTGTCAGCAATCACTGGGAGGGATACAGCCATAAGCTGCACTTTAGAAGCCTATAATGGGCTGCTGCAGCACTGGCAAAACTTATATCACATTATGCCTCTTCCCATTCAGACACAAATAGGATCATTATTTTTGATAACTATACAGCAAGTGCTGGATAATTTCATTACACTACTTGCCACTGTGTAATGCTGCACTTCAGTTATCGTAAATCTCACTGTGTCCCTGTTATTATTGTATTTAATTACAGCACAAAAACAATCAATAACATAATGTCCAACAAATGATTGTAACATTAAGGTTGATCTATACACACAACTCCAATTCATTTTACCTTCCACTAACATTAATGTGTGTGTGACAGAAAATAACAGCGGCTTATAAAGCTGCACACTGAGTGCGGAGTGGGTCTTTATATTTCTCAGCAGAGGACTTCATACTGTTTGTCAAAAGGCAGAGGTGGCAATTTACAGCAGGACCTATAAAGCCCATCCCATCTGATGGGATAAGGGCAATACCTTTGTGTCATCCAACAAATAAAATGATGGACACTCACAAGTGTGAACGCTGAAGCATTTTATTATAAAGAAAGCAGAAGACATTTCATGGGCAACCATGTCTTGCCCCAATAAATAGGGGCTGTAAATACACACTTGTGTACATCTGAGGGCCAACCGCACACCCTGTTTTCAAATTAGTTTGAAAGACTAATTTAAGGTGTTCTTCAGGACGTTTGGCCCTATGAATCAACTTTTAAGTAATTACTTAACACTATTTGAACTACATTATTAAATTAATTTTCTGCTCAAGAAAAGTTGCAAAATTACTACACAGGTTGGGACTTTTGCTCTAACTGTTTTAGAAATCTAACAAACTATATACATAAAAGGCAATTACTGAAACTGTCGCATTATTTAATCCGTCAGCAGTGTATACACTCTATTAATCTTTCAGAATTCTTGACTGTGTTGTCCTTCCTGTATATAATAGTTTTAGACCTGCCTTCATACAGTCTCCTCCATAATGAACTCAATGGCGTGCTGTGGTGACTGGCTTGTCTCCACCATTGTGATTTCATTTCCATCCATGGTGATAGTGGGAACAGTGATGGCCTGAGTTCCAAGAACAGAAGAGGGCAGGATGACAACTTGAGTTCCCTCTGTTCCCTCTATACCACTAAGCTGATCAGATGGAATCATGACTGTCTCAGTACCTCCTTCAGCTCCCTGCAGTACATAAATGGTCTGCACAGAGCCAGAATCAACCTCCCCTGTAGTGGCTAAAGTAGTCTGCACCTGGGCCCCTTCCAGCACCCTCTGGACTTGGGCGGCTTCAGCCGCATGTACCACCTGCTCAGCAGCTTCTGGAGGCAGGTCTGCATGTAGCCGGATGTGTTTATCCAGGTTGGAACGAGAGCGAAAGGCAGCAGGACAGTGAGGACAGGGGTAGGGCTTCTCACCACTGTGTGTGCGGGCGTGCTCGGTGAGACGGGCAGCCACACTGAAACTCTTGCCACAAATCCAGCAGCAGAAAGGCCGCAAACCACTGTGGATACGCTCATGGTCCTGTAGATGGGGCAGCTGGCGGAAGCGCTTGCCACATGTGGCACACTGGTGGAGAAATGGAGAAGAGAGAAGAACTATAAAAAGGGAAAGTGTGTGAAATACATAAAGGTAAGAGGGGGGCCACAAAGTTATGTTCACAACCCTGCCACTTTATAAATGTGATTGCAATTATTTTTTTTCTGATACCACTCTTCATATTTTTTTGCAGATGCACCACTTCTGGCTGGGACAGAGAGAGAACAGAGAGAAAATAGTACAGAGGAACACAGAGATGGAAGGACAGATATAAAGCAATAGAAACATCTTAGACTGGATGAAGTGATTTTTTTTATACAATCAATTAATTGTTTATTCAATTAGACATTGGGAAATTTGAAAAATTAGGGGGATGACTTAAGATGTGAGTTTACTGTCACAAAAAAACAGCAAAATATAAGCAAATGAATATGTGTTAAATTCTGCTTTGTCACCGTCTGCTGAATGATATCTTGTTATTCAAATACTTGATTGATCAGCTACATGTTGCAGCTATATATGCACTTGAAGGAGGGAGAGCATCAACAGTTACACAGATAGTATGATTAGTTACACCACAAAAAATGTTAGCAGCGAGCATGAGAGCTAAACCATTTCTAAATAAAGTAATCACATCAGTGACCTACAGTTCAACAGTTGTGCCGTCTGTGCAGCATTTGCTCTTGGTTTGCTCCCACAATGAACTACGACAATAAACCTGAAGCACGGCAAAAGAATGACATTAAGCTTTACTTTGATTCCCATCTATGAAATATATTTTAGAATATTTATTTCCTGTTGAGCGTGCGCTTTGAATAGCTATGCAAATACAGGCATTCAGGTTTAGGTACATGGTGTATTTGATATAGATTAAAATTCATCCCCATGACTTGCTGTGTTTGAGAACCGATGCTCTTTTAGCGTGGCTGATGGATATGGCTCAAAGCAATGCCACAAACATTAAATCAATTTCTACAGCCCAGCATGCTGAGATGGGTTTGGGTGGGTCTATAGTTGATGTCCTGCCTTGTCACCAGTGCAGTAGAGAGAGAGGGAAGGACTCCCAGAATAGTAACAGGCACAGAGGGGAGCTGACAGGCCCTAACTCAGCCCTGCAATTAATCACAGGTACACAGGGAGGGAGGAAACACCCGCAGGACACACACTGCACAAATGGCCATGGTCCGGAACAAGAGATGGCCACAGCTATGACCATGGTAGGATACTGCAGCTCTGGATTTCAATTTGAAATACAGGTGTTAAAAGATTTAAGTGCCTTAAATAAAGAAGAAAAAATTCTGAAGGCTGAGGGGAAACTTCCTTTTACGAGGGCACACACACACACAAGCCACCGTCCTTCTTACCTCAAAGGGCCTCTCATCAGTATGTGTCCTCATGTGAACATTGAAGGTTGAATTGTAGGCAAATTCCTTGTGGCAAATCTGACAACGAAAGCGGGGTCGGTTTTTGGACTTGCTGAGCGTCCCTTGGAAATGCGCCAGCACATGCTCCTCCAAGCTACTGTTGGAGGTAAAGCGGCGGCGGCAAGGCCTCACTGGGCATTTGAGAGGCGTCTGTCCTGTGTGGGATAACCGATGGAGGTCGAGTCCCTCCTGAGTCATGCAACGGTGCCCACAAAGGTCACACTCAATCTGAGAGAGTAATAAAGACAGGACGGAAAAGGAGATGGAGAGAAGACAAACCAGAGGGTAATGAGGTGAAGATCAGAACGACAAAAAAGCTATTAATGAAAAGAGAGTCTTCATGGTCCAGTTGTCACAATCACAGTGTTACAGTTTGATTCCAACTGAGGACCTTCGTTAGATTTCACAACCATTTTACTGACACCACGTCTTTTTTAAAATCTGGACTGACAGTTATGCATCATGGGACAAGAAATTGCACCAAATCTGTTTAAAAATGGGAGGCAAAACCTGCTTTAAAACAAATGTCATTGATGATTTTCTACGTTCCCAACCTGTCCAGTGCAGCGTCCCCGGCCCTGGCCCCGTCCACGGCCAGTGTTCTTTTCCTCCTCTGTGGTCGGACAACGCTGCAGGTGGATTTCCAGCACTGACTGGTTGACAAACTGGGTGGAGCAGTGAGGACATGTCGCTGGCTGCTTGTCTGTAATGGAACAGTGGCAGGTTTTAGGCAGGTGGTCACACTCTCTCCTCATACTATGAGCTCCCATGTTAATATCTGATGGCTGATCAGAGGTTGCTGATGACTACACTTAGCGCCAACAATCAAATGCAAAGTGGTACATGAAGAAATGGCTGTTGATGGGAAATAAAGTACAAACCTTTAGATGCAGACAGACGGTTGTGTTAACAAAGATTGCTCCTGGGTTTAATGGCTATTTTTAAGAGTACAACACAGAGAAGGTTCAAATGTATGCCACAAAATGTAAAAGTGAACTTGTGGTGTACAGAGTGCAGAAACAACTGGTCAATAACGGTCATAGTCAGTCTACAAAAATACATTTTTATGATGGAGTCATGTATAAAATAAAAGTGGTTTACATTTGTTGACACCAGTTGTAGTGATATATTTATTTTCTTTCATATTAAACAGCTACCCAGTCAGTGTCAAGACAAAAATCTGTGTTTTAACTGTCAGTTACATTCATTATGTAAGAGTGGACGACTAACTCTGTCCATCAGATAAATAAATAAAAAGAAAAGATCCTTAAGAATTTGATGCAGTTATGTATACAGATTTTATATTTCAGGAAAAAGACAGCATTTATATCAGATAAATGATTTGCATCATTATTTAGACAAAGTTAAAGTATGTATAGGAAACATGTCTGTAAAACAAAACAGTTCTACATCCTGGTTACTATTAGTTTTACATTATTGGTCACAGTTACTTTGGTCCCTGAGAACTTTTAATGGGCTTTTTTTTTTCTTACATTGTAGAGATCACTTTATCAAGAACAGATGGAAAAACAACTGTTATACCTCTAAAGTTACTTATTTTTGATGATTAATTCATCTGCCGATTATGCTCTCAATTAACTAATGAGTTGTTTGGGTTATGACATCAGGACATTAAGAACAAGTTGGATTGTTGACATTTGATTGTCAAATTTTTATAGTCTGACAATTCATCAGCTAATTGATTCATCCCTGTTCGGCTGGTGCTGTAGTTATGTTTTGGCAAAGCAAGTCAAACTCTCACTAGGTTACTCTTGAAAACCTGGCGAGGAAGTTGCTGACACTGATGGTTCATCAGTATGACCACAGCCGGTCCAACCAATATTTTGCAATCTGCTAACCATCTGTACTGTCCATCCCAGTGGGGACGTTCACACCGCTCCCTACTGGGACACCCTAATTAAACCTTTAATAAGGACAATCTCAGCCTATGGCCCTGGACTGATCAATAGATCAATCTCTCCAATCATCTTTCTCCGAGGAGCTACATACCTCTGACCCCTACTGCACGCTGACTCTTCAAGCTTAACTAATGAGGTTGCTGTGCCCTGATTAGGATGAAGTGTCAACATGTTGACCCAATTCATTTTCCTCCGCCCTTCTCTTCCATTTCACATGGCACACAAATCAATGGAAAGTCACTGACCTAATGCATCGCAGAAACACTGTACATATACCATAGATGTATGTTTGTAAGTAAACAAGCTGATGGTGTAATTCATTGCCAACTTTCCATTAATCAATAGTAATTCACTACATGTTGTGCTGATAAGAACATCATCTCTAATTGGTTTCCATTACAGCAAGGTACATTGGCTCGCATCTTGTTTCTCGGTACATTCACCATAATAGGTTGCTTTGTCACAGACTAATGGAATCAAAGACAAAAGCCTGGTGGCAGTAGGAAGAATGCGAGATCTCGCACGTAATGTAAACAGAGATTAAATGACAAAATAACAGTCTTGTCCAAATTACCTACATTATTGCTGCTAACCATAAAATATATGGGGTGATCGATATGTGCAAGGCTGGAGCCTGAACGCTCACCTTGATGAGTGAGGGAGTGCAGGTCCAGGTCTCTCCTGCGTTTGAAGGCCTCCCCACATTCAGGACAAGGGAATGGATGGCTAGTGTGAAGCAATCTGTTTGGATACACACATATTCACAATTTTAAAGTGCACAAATGTTTTTTTCATCCTTTTTTTTTTTTTACATGTAAATATTCAAAATTGCATAAACTTTTACTGTAACAAATAATGCAGTCAAATGTTACATCCTGTAAATAAGAAAGGAGTCTGAGCTATTTCCTTATAAGTATGAACTGTCATGTTTTGGTTTTAAGCTGCCACTTAGTCTGTGACTTGTAGGAGCACTGCAAGTCAGTACGTGCTTCGCTGGACTTCAGGCTAAATACATGATAATATCTGAGTGTATAACGACTGGAGATAAAAGAACAGCAGTAAACTGGGAGGAGTCAGTAAGGACATGAAAGACTATATTTATCCTTTGCATAACATTACGCTGGGTATTGCCTTAGGGGAGGAGAGAAGCGTTTGGATGTGATGTATTCACCTAATGCTGCATTAGGCCTGTTTTCACAGCATGGAAAAAAAGAAATACTGGTTCTCTGGGCAGCTTCTCATAATCAGAATAAACATGGATGATGTCTAAAAAGCTTAATGTTTAAAGAAAACCTCATCCTCCACGAAATACTGCATCCCCACAAATACATGTATGACATCATTAGACTGTATTAAAATCAATCATCATACTGCTTCAGTTAATGTGTCCTGCAAATGTGCTTAACAACGCAAGTCACTTCAAGTAAAGCAGAATGGAAAAGGTGATGCGCAAGGACCTTTCAAGGCCTGTGTAAGAGGCCAGACAGTTTCTGTTCCCTGTTAACTAGACAATAGAAATCAATATTTCAGGGACAGCTGACCCTGAAGCGGCGAGGAGAATGAAAATTTCAGTCAGCGCCACCTCATCTCCAAGCCAGATGTTGTTTTATGAGTAGAGGTGATGAAAGTACAGTATCAGTATTTAGAGCAGGTAGACACTGACTGGAGCTAAAATGGCAAGTTAACAGATTTGCTGATCCACACAAAATGAAAGTTGATTAATTGATGATGTCATTTTACACGCATGCTGCAGCTTCTCAAACATGCAGATGTTACTTTTCTTCATCTTTTACAATAAGAAAATGAATATCTTTGTTTAATATAAAGGTTTATTCCTCAACTTAGGAATGAAAAACTATTTTAAGGTCTTCTTTGGTGGATGAGGGCATTTGCTCATCAAATGTGTGTTGCAGTTGAAAGCAACGGAAAAAGTTTTTATTAAAGAATTTATTCAATAAAAAAAATTTAGAAAAAGAAAAGAAAAATTAAATAATAAAGAAAAATTTAAATAAAGAAAAGGTAAATAGGCAAATAAAGAAAAATTTATTCAATAAAGTTTTATTCTAATTCTAATTCTAAAGCACCTTGATTTAACACTTTTTGTTTGAATGAGAACGTCTTATTCGAACAAAACTATCAACTTTAGGATCTCATCTTAAACAAATTTCCCAAAAACCCTAACAATGACTCCTGGTTTTTCCAACTAATATGACATAAGTTGGTCTACTGGTTCTCAGAATACACAACCACCACAGTCACAATAAGCAGTCACACTGGTTAATAACTTATTAAGTCAACTGGGAGATTCTGAATCTAGCCAAGCACATTGACATTAAAGAGGCTGTGTTGGCCCAGATAGACAATCACAAACATGGGCAGGTCTAGAGCTGCATATTTCCTCACAAGAAGAATAAACTAGTTTATCCAAAACCAACATGAGGAATCTGTGGCGCACTTTAACAGGCTCCCTCATTATTTAGGCACGAGTAGATCTGTGGTCACTGCATGACAGGTGAGGCAGAGACAGAGATGCACCTCCTTCTAAAATGTGACAAATACAACGGTATGCGCTAAGAATCTTTACCGGAGATTGACTTGTTAATCCCAAATTTCACAGAGCTGGGCAACAATGGAAAGAAGTGGATTCTATTAAGAGAGGACGATGCAGCACGCCTATCTGCACAGTATGGGGCTGCATGTCAGAAGCAGAGGGATATAATTAATATGTCACCTAATATGATCATTATTTTTCCATGATATGACATCGTATTTCTATTTTTTCTTCTTTTTTGCCATTCTTCTGTTGTTTTAATAATCGTGTTAAATTTCTTTATTGCATTCAATTTTGTCAGTGTTTACATTCTGTGCACACGTATACCATATTTGAATACAGTACAATTCCTGATAAAGTGATGTTCACTAGTTTAAATGATTGCTTAGTAAGAAAATTAGGAGCGATAGAAAGGCCTGGTCTCCACTCATTCACAAGCTTCTATACAGTCAACACACCCAGAAAGAGTCTAAATCCTAAAGGGGGGCGGGGACAGCAGTTCAGTGGTTTTCAGAGCTACTGACACATCCAGGTAGGACAGGACCAAGCTCTTCCTCGGCCCGGGTTGTTATCAATATGATCTTAATTTACTAGGCCTCTGTCTGTCGATCATATGTGGCCAAAGCTTAAGGGCACCCAGACATCCCAGTGTGTTTGCCACACAGCTTGAAGGTCTTGCTCAGTAGTCGGACACGGCTCAGCTACTACAGCTCCTGGCGAGAGGGAGGGGGTTTATCTAAATCCTGCCATGGGTTCTTTTTTAGGACTGTAATTCTAATGTATTTATTTGGTAAATAGAGTTGGAAAAAGATTGAATATTGAAAACTGCCTGGTATAGTTTAGTTATTTCCACCAACACCTGCCAATAAATTATGCTAAAAAAAATATTAGCAAAATATCATTACCGGTGGTGGTTAAGCTGATCCTCAGTGTTGAACCGTGAAGGACAGTTAGGACACGGGAAGAGATGAGCAGCTCCCTCATTGTCCAAAGTACACACCTGCGTTGAGGGACACAACAGTCAAGCTCAGTGATTTAATGATATAATAACGAAAGTTTAATTAAAAAATAAGATATCAATCACTTCAAAAGTTTGAAACTTGATCTCTGCCAAAGACACAATAAATCTGTCAGAATCATGTGCACATACGAAATGCTGACAAAAATTTGTACATAAAACAAAACCATATTTGAGCCACTTTTATAAACAGAAAATGGTAGAGATGGTACCGGTTTGCGTCCGCGCTTGCGCCGCGGCTGCGTTGATGTGTGAATGCGTTGGTGTCTCTTCAGGGTGGCTGCCTGGGAGAAGTTTTTGCCACAAACATTGCAACTGTAGGGCTTGTTGCCTGTGTGGCTCATGCTGTGGCGCAGCAGGCTCTGGGAGTTGGTGAATGACTTTGTGCACACCTTTAGAACAGAAATAACTCGGATTAGTGCCATAGTTGCACGCAGCTGTATGCAAAAGTTACATATCTTGTAGTCACTGAGATGAACTCCAGTAAATACAAACCTACAGCAAATAGATATCATAAAATGAGCATTTTTTTTATGTAATGCACCATTACTTTTTATTTCACGAAATTAAAAATCAATAACAAATAGCAATTGGGTTATATACAAATAAGTACTGGCACCTTGCAACTTTATTACCCTGTCATTGTTCTGTTGTAGAAGCCAGACTCTTTTCATTCTCAACAAAATTTGGAATTTGCCCAGGGACGCCCAGACTTTTGCAGACAACTGCATTGCTCAAAATCCAATTTTAAGACAATATTTACTGTGCAAAGACACTAGGGAATGTGTCAAATGTAATGTGGTTGGAGGTTCAAATTCTCTCTGCCTCTGCTTTGAAGCATTACATCATGTCAGCAAATTCAGCTTCAACATAAATAACATTTATATCAAAGCCTTCACATCAGGAAAGGAAAGCTTTGATTAAATTTCTGATTGGCACCTTGCATGTGAAGAGCTTTTCTCCGGTGTGGCTGTAAACATGGGTGCGGAGAAAGACACGTCGAGTGAAGGTTTTGTTACAGTAGGGGCAGACGTGGGGTAGTGGTGTTCGGGCCCAGTCCTGCAGCAGCTTGGCAGGTGGAGGGTGATTGGTGTTGTCTGAGTCTGCTGCAGTGTTGCCCTCTGTGTCATCTTTAGTGCCTAAACATTTGTTTCCTGGTGACAAAAAAAAAAGTTAAAGGCCAAAACATCCCACATGTAATGCCTTGTTTTTCCCCAAATAGGCTCTAAAATAATAATTTCCACATACCTTTGCGTGCATTACTGCTCAGGATCCTAACAAAAGGCCTAGGTTTCTTCGGAAGAGGAGAACCTGATTCACTAGCCGAGGCAGGCGGAGAAAGCAGTCGCTTTGTGCTCTGTGGGCTATCCTGAGGTTCAGTTGTTTCAACACCAGTTTCAGCCTCATCTGGCACATTCGTCTCTGATGTGAAGCGGTGCTGCTGCCAGTGGTACATATACTGTGTGGTGTTCATGAAGCTCAGCCCACAGTGTGAACAACTGTGTAGTGGCTCCTTCAGGTCGTGCTTCTGCAGACGATGCGTGACCAGCTCTCCCTCATCACTAAAGCTCTGCCCGCACTGGGTGCACATAAACAACTCTGGCTGTGTGAAAGTGACACTGGTGTTGGAAGGAGTGGCATCCATCTGCTGCTCATCAGTCCCATTGCTCTGAGTACAAACTTCCTCTGATGTCACTTCAGGAACCACCATCACCTTTTCTTCACCCTTCTGTCGGTGTTGTTTGCGGTGATAGAGGAAGAGGGTGGTGTTTAGAAAGCTTTCCCCACACACAGCGCAGCGGTGTAGAGCTTCTTCGAAACCATGTTGGGTTTTGCGGTGAGCCACGAGTTCAGACACCAGGCCAAAGCACGAGCCACAGTCCACACACAAGAGCACTGGTTCAGGCTTTGGTTTTTTGTTTGCCCCTCTCCTCCTTGGAGACGAATCATCTGGATTAGAGGTTGAAGCGGTCACCTCAGAAACGATGGGCTCAGAGCTGTGGGATGGAGAGGTCTCTGCAGCCTCCTGCCTCTCTCCCTCTTCTGCAGGTTTATCCACTGGTTCAGGCTTAATATTTCTGCTCGTTTCAGTCGTTGCGAAAGAAGACTCCTCTGGATCTAAAGGTAAAGTCTGACTCTGAGCTGATGAGGGTTCTGGCTCTGGCTCTGGCTCTGGTTGTGAGTCAGGTTTTGACTTGCTCCCAGAGGCAGACTGCTGACATGTCTCTTCTTTACGATGTTGCTGCCAAAGGTCAAGGCTTTTGAAAAGTTCATCACAATCCCCACACTGGTAGAGAATTCTGGGCTGGTCGGATGTTAACTTTGCACTGACTGTGGTTTGCTTGAGTGCACTCCTAACAGGCTGCACGGAGAAGTGTTCTGCTTGGACTTCAATCTGTGGGACTGCAATTGTCCTTGATATACTCATCACCTGTTGCTGCAAAAATAAAACAGAAAAAGTAATTAATTACAGATTATCTTTAATGTTTTACTTGTTTTCTGTGTTTCTGTGTACAAATAAAACCACTACTTGCAAAAATAATCACATCACAGTGCAGTGTTTTTCCTAAATGTTATTCGTTCTGGCAGACAAGGGATGAGAATTCAGGGTTGGGGTACTGAGGTCAATTAGAGCAGCATCTGTTTAGAGCCAAGGTTCTTCTGAGAGCTCCAGACAGCCAAGATAACATCCCAGCCTAGCTGATGGCAATCAAAAGGCCCATAAGGGTTAAACGGGTCACTCCGCAGGGTTTTACATTTGTTCCCTCCATCCATTTGGATTAAACAGAACATCAAGGTCAAGGTCAAAGGTGTCTGGAAGTGCCTTGGCAAAAAATTAACATGACTTGCTGTGGCTTTTTGTTGTTGTATTCTGTAGTGTGTGTGTCTCACATGCACTATGCCACCATGTTTTATCACATGTACTGATTTCAATATACGTTTAAGTCAGCTTGTGAATATAGTGAGAGTCAGGAAGAAAACCACTTAAACAGATCTTTAATCTCTCCATGGACTTTGAATTTGCTTGTATTTTCAATCACGACACTGAACAATTTCAGGATGTTTCATGTTGAACTTTCATTAATTGTTGCTTATGTTTGTACGAACAGACTTGTTTTGGATTAGATTTAGTGGAAGCTCTCTTGTTCTGCATCTAAAATATCAACGAAGAATATCAAACCTCAGCTTTTGTGGTTTTTATATACAATTTACATACTCAGTATTATCTGTCTGTCATGTTCATGAATAACTATGTAATGCAAAAAATTATAAGGTTTGTTGTCATGTAATTTTAAAATATATTATTATGATTGTTAGAGTGATATTACTTTATTATTATGCTGTTATTATTATTATTATTAATAATAATAATAATAATATTTTATAACAATAACAACAATAATAATAATAATAATAATAATAATAATAATAATAATGTGATGGTGTCAATTCTGACAGCAGCCACTGCGCTCCTACTGGTCTGACTCCACCCTTCTACTAGCTACCACAATAAAAATGAAACTGAGGTTTTCGATTGTGCAGTAAGGTAGCTCTGCTAGTTTTTTCAATAGATTATTCAGTTTAATGGCCGTGCTTGTCTCCCTGAATGCATACGTTCCACCATTAGAATTCCACTCAACACTATTTTGAGGAAACACTGAAGTCACAATTTTCACTTGGCCCCGCCCATGCCGACTGTCATTGGTTTAAAGAAAGGCAAACCAGCCAGAGTATTTTTTGCCTGTAACAGAATGACAGTGTGGTGCAGCCAGACTATTAAGTTCTACAGCAGGGGTCTCCAATCCTGGTCCTTGAGGGCCACAGACCTGCATGTTTTAGATGTTTCCTTCTTCCAACACACCTGATTGAAATGATCTCATCATCAAGCTCTGCAGAAGCCTGATAACGATCCTGATCATTTGAATCAGGTGTGTTGGAAGAAGGAAACATCTAAAACATGCAGGACTGTGGTTCTGGAGGACCAGGATTGGAGACCCCTGTTCTACAGAATGGGCTGGTTAAGTGAGACTAAACTACTACTAATAAACTACTGGTGCAGATTTTGTGTTGAGCAGGCATAGTGGGTGTGCCGGATTTTTCTTCTCTCATAAGCACATTGCAGCTCTCTCTGGTAAAAAGAAGTGAGGGACGGTTGGCAAGTTGCCGACAGTTCATGGATTGTCCACAAAGCAGATGCACAAAGCAAAACAAAGCATTATTTTGCTTACAGTCAACAGTCAGAGTGTGCCCAGACACACCACAGAGCCAATTAGGTTTTCGAGAAGTAGCCTACGCGTCCAGCTTGGCAAAGTATTTTGCCAACAGACATGCCGACTTGTTCGAAAGATTAAAGAGCGAAAGGTTAGTGCATTTCCGATATCATATTAATCATGCCCACAAACTCAAAAATAAATCAACTGGGTATGATTTATTACGATAAAAGCAGTTTTTTTTTAAGTTTGACAAGGCAGTTAAGGGCTCTGATAACTGTTTAACTGGACTTTATCTTTTTAGCCAACTTTCCAATGTGACAAACGTCTGTAAATGCAAATGCAGCACTCACACTGGTTACCTATTTTGTGTTACTGCGTAAATGCCTGACTAAAAATCAGGCGTTTACAAGTATGCAGAACAACCACATAAGTTAAATGATCAACTGAGTGAGTTCCAGCAGGAAGAATGAAAGTGGGTGATTAAAATGAGTACTGAACTACAGCTGCACTCATCTCTGTGAAGTGAAGGGACGTCAGTACGTAAAGGGCTGGTCTTAATGTAGAGTCAGTGATAAACCCAGAGCACCCTACTCAACTTGTTTTTGATGCCTGATCTGCTTCCGTCTCCTTTCACCCAGTTCAAATAACTCTTTTGTCACTCGTTGCATTCCCTAGATTGAAAGAGATGTACCAACAATTGATGTTTATCTGATGATGTGAACAGTATTTTTCTGATAATAGTTCAGTATTTTACTTATCCACATTCTACACTGTTTAATTACATAATGGCTACTTTTATTGTACGAAATGATTTGGGAGCTTTTTCTACCACTAGGACTGGCTTTACCTGATGAGTTTTTTTAAGGTATTTATGTATTTTAGGTATTTGGTAGAGCACAGGCTGGTAATGATGCCAAGTATCCCAGTCCCTAGATCAGACAAGTTGTTCTTTATGCTGAAAAGACATTTAGAAGCTGACTTTTAAAAAACATTGCCCAAAAGCAGCAGAACGCCAACCTCTAGGAAGACTGCTCCAAAGTGTTGAATGAGAATCACTAATTACAAAAGAATCTTGGGAGAAAGTTGCAACTGCCCAGAAAGAACATCAAGGAATTGGAAACAAGTTTGGAGGCCACAAAGGCAGACCAGGAAAAAAAAAAAAAGCAAGAGGAGGGTAGAAGCCATCAAAGAGCATGAAAAGAAAATCTTTTCGCTTTGACAAACTCGCCATGCTCAAAATCAGAAGACCAGAAAAAGTCACCAAAGACTGGCTGAATATGACAAGATGAAGGCTGGTTCTGAGAGCTGACAGAGCTTTCTGTCCCTGCAAAGCAACCTGCAGAAAATGCAAGGTGATAAAGGGACCCACACCATTGCAAGTGCCTTTAAATCTTGCACATAGGAGCATTTGGTCCCTTCATTCCAGTACAAGCATCAACAGACTGAACTGAATCAAAGCATGAACAAGTTCAATACTCTGGTTAAGAAGTTCAAGAAGGAGATTGCTGAGGAGGAGGAGAGCTGGGACAAGAGACAGAAGGAGGGATGAGGCTGAGAAAGAAAGAAGAAGAAACAGGGTTTCCGGATCAATGCTTGCCAGAAACGCATCGACAGCAACAGTAAAGCGACGGAAGCTGCTGCTTGACCAGCACAGCAACGGATACGTCCAACACCCATCCACGCCCGAGTCCTTCTCTCCAAGGTCTGGCTGTTTTTCTCTACAATTTTTTTCTTTCCTCTCCACTTACCCTGACCAGTCAAGGCAGATGGACACCCTAACTGAACCTGGTTCTGACATTTTCACCTCTCAACACCTATCCACTGATTTTCTCTTGTTTTGTTTAAATCTCAAGAAAAATCAATAAGCTCAATTATATTTTCGTCAAACTGATAAACCTGGATAAATCTTCAGATGATGGGGATTTATTTACTACCAGTCTGCTTAAGCCCGTCTCGTGTGAATGTCAACCACAACTAAACCATATTTTGTAACAGTTTTTAAGAAATATCTGCAGAAGCTTACCCAACGGCAAAATGTAGAATATTGTGTTAAAGATTCAAATGCATTTTTAAGACAACCCAGCAGCTATTGGTAAGAAAAACACATTCGATTAGGAGGAGCGGTGTGCATATGGGCTGTCTAAGTGCCTGTTATTCTGGCTGCCCTCCGATTACTGCTCAACAGTTGATGTAATGTAATGCAATATATTTTAAAAATGTTATTTTGTGCAACTCATATATAGGAAAAACCTTTCTGAATAGCACAGACATGGCAAGCTGATGAAGGACTGATTTATTAGTTGGATGTGACTGACTCAGTTTTAGCTGGTGGAGCTAGGATGCTGAGTGTACATGAGTGAGTTAGCAAGGCCATAGAAAGGACACACTCACCTCTACAGAGCTCTTGCTGTCTTTAACTGCATTTAAACTTTCTGTACACCACTGAGACTAAATAGGCCATTAGATATAACAAACCTTCCACTCTTACATGTAAAATTCATATGCACCTCATACAACTGTCAAAACTTTTGTTCCATTTCATCTCATACTATAGTTGTGGAAGGTTCTCTTATCTTAACCTGCCGGCGGAGGAAAAGCCATCTGAGAATGTTCAATGTTGGTACAGAATTTTATAAAAGAGGCATTTGCTAGCTGACATTTCAGTCTAGACCAATGTGATCTACCAACTTAGCCATTCAGCTAATGAGGCTAAAAACAGCAGGCCTAAAATGAGAAGCATTGAGGCAGCAGGGCACGGCAGCGTGTTTGCTTTATTTATGCTTCCAGATTATACATGCATCCTGTTCATACACCCAAAAGTATCCTGACAGCGTAATGCATCTTTTTCTTAGAAGACAGAGGCTTTGCATGTTTAAAATATACAAAGTGACCCAGTTATATTTGAGAAAAGCAACAGATTAGAGTTAAAACCATCCAAAAAAACCGTCTGCAAATGTCAAGATATAATTGTAATGGTTGTTCTGGTGATCAGTGTGTGAAGTGGAAGGTGAGCCTTGGTCTCGCAAAAAGGCTTCAAGCCATCCTTAGCGCCTGGAAGACACTGCTGTGGCTGACATACAGGTGACTGAGCTTCCAATTCATCCTTTATCTGAGACAATGATGTAAAGAAGTAAGTAAAGAAGCAAGCTTATTGTTAACTAGGCGTCATGTACACATCATGGCTACTTTGCACGCCCTGTGTAAGGGTAGCGTTGTTGTGGGTGTCCTCAGAAATTAAAGCCAAGCCCACAAAATGCAAAAGCTTCACCACAACAAATGTGCAAAGTTATAAAGAGTGGTTCATAAAGTTTCTGATTGACAAACCATCTGCAATGTCACTGCTGCCACTGAGTCCACACCACACACAACACTGCCTTCTTCTGTCATAATTTGTTCCAGCAAACTGCAGCTAATCGTTTACATGCTCTAAGTTTCTTCTTTCCAAGTGCCCACATCAGAAACTCACCTGTGCTGTGACCTGCGACCTTGAACCTGCAGGTGAGCTTGTTTTTGTTTTTAAGAATTTTTCTTTCAATTGAACTACGGCCAAACAATGAATTGTTTTCAAATGGAAATCACATTGAAACTATGCAGTTAGTGAATCTCAAAGGCTCAAACGTGTTGCATGCAGTTGAGAAAATATCTCTTCTTGACTTCTACATCATCAATTGTTTAATTGTGTGCGCAAAGATGGGACCTGAGTCGACAGGCAGCTTTTCTTTTCTTCAACTTTTTAAATTCTGGGAACGTATCGCATATATTAAGCTAAGATTTTTACAAATCTCTTAATACACATCCACAATTTAAGATAAAGAAAACATTGTTTTAAAATGAGATGATTTGAGACAGAATGGCCTAGGGTAAAAACACTAAAAAATGTAATGTACTGCTGCTGAACAAAGCATAACTCACCCACAAAAGAAATAGAGGATCGCCACAAAATGAGAGAAAAACTGACTATTTATTATTACTGGAGCATGATGAATATTATGGTGATTGAGCTGGTGTCAACAGACACTATGTGAATGTGGCGTTCTGGACTTCAACCTGCGACCTTTGCTACAAGTCCTTCTCTTCTGCCTTCAATCTTTCCTACTTTCCTCGACTAAGACTTATTAACAATGAATCCCCTAGAAATAAGGGCCTGCTTAGACTTCTTACTACTGTGTCATGCAAATTCTCCCTTAAGCGGGCCCATCGGCTCGGATCAGTAAAATCTTTAATACACCCTGAGAACAGAGCTCAATTGAACACTAATATGTATGATATATTCCTTGAAGAGCTTATTCAAAATATAAAACCTATTGTGTTGCACATTCTAAAATATACAGCCTGATTTAAATGTTGTTCAGCCCTCATTTATTCCCCTTTCAGCACTGCTAAACATCACACCTAGTTACTCAGTACTCTGTGCTACAGTGTGGTGTTCTGCCATTGTGCTGGAGAGAAAGCTCCAGTTAGCTTTTCAATTCAAACAAAGCTGTTGAACAGTCTGCTAGATTTAACACACAGCATTGTAAAGGTTAGGAGTCTGGAAAATTTAACAGTAAAATGACTTAGTGCAAAACATCTGTAATATTTTGTATTGAGTATTACAGTATGTTGTGGGTACATGGGGCAGCACAGTAGTACAGTGGCTAGCGCTGTCGCCTCACAGCTCAAATGTCCTGGGTCGCAATGGTCACTGTGCATGTGTGGATTCTCACCAGGTGCTCCAACTTCCTCCCACGGTCCAAAGACATGCTTAGGTTAAATGGTGACTTTAAATTGTGCGTAGGTGTAAATGTAACTGTCTGGTTGTCTGTCTCTAAGTGTAGCCCTGTGATAGACCGGCACCCTGTCCAAGGTGTAACCTGCCTTCACCCTAAGCCAGCTGGGATAGGCTCCAGCCCCCCTCGACCCTACAGAGGTGTTAGTGGTGTATAGATAATGGATGGATGGAAGGATGCATGTACATTTATATGTTGTAATGCAGTCACATATGGGAGTCTGGCACTGTGAATGAAGGTTGAATTAAGCATTTAACAAGTGTACGTAAGATTTATTACTAATTGTAATTGGGCATCTTCGAAAATATGATCTTTTGGTCAAATATATGATAGTTCTGGATACTTACAGCCATTTGTACATATTAACTAGATCACATCGTATGCTTTTTTTATTTTTTTAGAAGACTATATCTAGTCTTGCTTGAACTGCTTATGTTGATGTATTATTGTTGTGAAAATGTCTTAATACTGTCCTTATGGGCAGATCTCTCGTCAGAAAAAAGATTTGAATCTCAACAAGACTTCTAAAGTGTGAAATAAAAGGGAAAATAAAAATGTGCCAAGAATGGCGAGAAAGTAACAATGATACCATAAATATAAATCATTGTTGGATTTGAATTGCTCAATGATTGCTGTCACTATGTAACCCTACTAGTTATTCTATGATTTAACGTATGATGTCCGTGTCCACCTCAGTCGGAAATAAATACAAAAGAATGCCTTGAAATAAGTCCGTAAATAATTACAAACAAGTGTTCTCAACAAGGTCACTAAAACAAAGATGAGAAGCAGAGCCTTGCCAGTTTGACTGATGTTACAATATAAAGTGTTCACCCTCTTAAGAAGTTTTCCTTTTCATTGTTTTGTTTTCTGTCATTAAATTGTGGTCATTTTTATTTAGCTTTTTTTAACAAGAATTTAAAAGCAAAGTGAAAATGCATTTCTACAAAGTTATGTCAACTAATTTAAAACAGAAAATGTTTGACTGTAAAGTATTCGGCACCTTTAAAGTGACTCATCTAATGGCAAATTCATGCTTTCCATGTCCGTGTGCTTAGGCCAATAAGAGGACTGTGGAGGCAGCTCTGTTTACACTACAATGAGGTCACGCTCGTCTGCTACGCTGCCAGTTGCATTTTCCCTCATATCGAACACAGAAAAATGGATGGGAAAACCGCAGCTGGTTACAGATTATGTCCTAGTACCGTGTCAGTGATTATATATTAAGGTAGACCAAGCAGTGTGTGAACACAGCACAGGATTTCCAGAGAAACGAGGACTTCCTGCTGTGTTTTTGCTCGATCGATGGAAACCACGTACAAATCAAAGCTCCTCCAAACTCCAGCAGCGACTTAAATTACAACTCTTTAAATTATAAATTGACAGAATCTCCTCATACATCTCTTCTCATAACAAACATATGTTTTAAGCACCACTTGTTTTCCCGGCAGTAGGCGCGTTTTCAGTGTGGACAGTCCACTGGGTCACAAATTCTGGGTTGGGCACGGACCCTCGCAGACTTAGGTGGATAACAATATGTACATCATGCAGACGCAGACAGCATGAATTGGCCATAATTCAACACGGGTGCATCCAACCAGTGCTAGAAGTCACACAATTACTGAAATAAAGATCATCTGAGTACAGTGAATGTATCTCAAGTGATTGTAGTATAAAGACACCTGCATCTGGAATATCCAGTTACTGGTGAACCCATGAACACAACAAAAACAAAAGAACACTCCAACTGACTCCATTAAACACAGAGATTGGAAATGGTTTTTTGTTTTTTTGTTTTTTTTTAATAATTCCAAGCCACAAAATATCCTTTGGAGTACAGTTACATTTAGAAAATGTGACACATGCATAAATCTGCCTCAAGCAGACTGCCCTCAAAAACTGCAACTGCAAAAACTTTTAAAAACCGCAAGAAAGAGACGAGTGCGGGAGGCCACCAAGGCACCTATGACTCGTCTGAAGAAGTTACAACTTTCAGCAGCTGAGACGGAACAGACTGTGCATACAAAAATTTTTACCAGTCAAAGCTTTATGGGAGATTGCCAAAGAGAGTGTCACTGTTAAATAAAAAACAAAAAAAACTCCCATGAAATATAAATGGCCTGCACTGATATACCGCCTTTTAACCTTTGCTAGGTTCTACAAGGCACTTTACAATGTTTTCCTCAGTCACCTATTCACACACACAAACACACAGCAAGGGTGGCAGAGCTGAGCAAGGTGCTCATCTACCATTGGGAGCAAATTGGGGTTCAGGCCAAAGTTATGATCAGTAGACAAAATTGGGCTTTTTGGCCCTTAGACACTATGTTTGGAATTCACCAAAGCCACCATTCCCACCGTGAAGCATGGTGGTGGCAGCATCATGATGTGGGAATGGTTCTTAGCAGCAGGCCCTTGAAAGCTTGTAAAGATAGAAGGTAAAATAAATGCATCAAAGTGTAGGGAAATCCTGGAGGACAATGTGATGCAGTCTGCAAGAGAGCTATTTTGGAGAATATTTATCTTCCAACAAGCATACAGCCAAAGCTACACAGAAATGGTAAGAAAACAAGGTGAAGATTCTGCAGTGACCAAGTCAAAGCCCAGACCTCAATCCAACTGAGAATGTATAGCTGGACTTGAAGAGGGCCGTTTACTCACAATCCCGGTGCTCACCTGACATAGCTCGAGCAGTTTAAGCAATATAGAATAGGGTGAAGGGTGAAAAGGCAGAATGCAGATGAGCAAAGGTGAGATTTATCCACACAGACTTAAGGCTTTATTTGCAGTCAAAGGTGCATCGACCAAATACAGACTTAATGGGGATAAATACTTTTGCAAACACTAATTTTATGTTTTAGAACTTAAATTATTCGACAATACTTTTGAAGAAATTTGTTTTCTCTTTAACATGAAAGATTGTTTTTTTAAATTCTTGTCCAAAAAGGCTAATTATATTGACCATGATTCCATGTTGACAAGCAACAAAATATGATAACTTTCAAGGTAGGCGGACAGTTTTTATAGACACTGTATACTTGTCACTTCAATGTCATTTTTCAGATTTGTTCCGTAGACTTTCACGTGATCACGCAGTTGGATATTTCATGACACATGTTCTGTCTCCCTTTTTTCCTTTGTAATTCCCAGACAACATCCAAACTGCCAGTCACAAAATGAAAGGGAAAAGTGTTGAACTGTACCAGGACTTACCCGTGTCTGTAACACTGGAACAGTAACAGGGGTGGTTCCAGATGTGTCAGGTTGTTCATCCTCAGCAGTGCATGTCAACTGGTGCTTGAGCACCTCTTCCAGAGTGTTGAACTCCTGGTAGCAGGGGAAGCACATGTACACCGACGAATTCTCCATGCCTGCTGGGAGATTAGAAATCAAAAACATTTCAGAAGAAAAGCAGCAATGCAAAACTGATTGAGATCAATGTGCAACAGTTCATAAACCTAATGCATGCTTTGAATGTGAAAGAAATATCACAACGTGAGCCTTATACAGATGTCCTTCCACCACTGCGCTACATTTGAGGGTGGTTGTGAACATTGCCCTCTCCTGATGAAAAGAAGCGCCTGCATATATGATCAAGACAGGGGCTTGGGCGTGAGTGCCAGGACATTAACTCTGGGGTTGCCAAGATAACTCACCTTGCACTGGGCTAACTATTATTTTGACTGTGCAGGTTGCTGCTCCAATGGACAATCCAAGTTCACAAACAAGTCTTTCTCTGTCTGTAACATTTAATAGGCTGAGCTGATGTTCAGGTCCAGCATCAGTTGGATACATCATACAACTGGGCTTACTGAAGAGGCAGTCTTGCTCATGCTGCTTTTGAATGGAACTACTGGATACAAAGAGGTGAGTACATCTCTGTGTGAAATGATTACACAGAAGTATTATGGATTATTTCTAAGGTGACAAGTGTTTCTTTTTATAAACAATCAGAAACAAATACTTTAGGAGGACTATACTGAAAGAACAGGCCCCAAAGTAGAAACTCAGCATAGCAAAAGTGAATGCTCTTAATAGTTAGAAAACCTGTGATCACTGAAACAAATTTGAGAACACCTGTGATTTCCAATTAGTTTAACTGCATAAACACAGTCTACTAATGTCCCATAAACACCAGAATTTGCTCAGTTTTGTACCAATGAGCTTTGTGCATCTGTAAGTCCACATCAAGGCTCCACACAAAAAAGAACTGCCAGAGGAACTGGGAAACCTGATTATGAGACTCTGTGATAATGGAAAATGACACAGGACGATGGGTGATCAACTACAAATCAGTTAAAACACAGTTGCAGCATGAATCCAAAGGTATAGAACAAGCCACAGCAGCACTAATCAGAGCTGCAATGGCCGTCCTCCAAAATTGACACTGACAGTGCAGATAGTGCCACACTGGCACAATCTAGCTCTGAGTAATAGATGAGCAAGTGCTTCAGAGTTTGCACAGGGGTTATCAAAGGAAATCAGTTTGTGTTTCAGTGTGAAGCACAGTGCATAACATCATGGCAAATATGGAGGAGGAAGTGTCATGATACGGGTTTCCGGAAGTGCAAAAGATACTGAGGAGAGGGCAGGTGTATATGGCTGGCACCACGACTGCCGAAATACTGTCTGACAAGATGAGTCCAGATCAAAATACTCTCTGAAGAATGACAGAACATCTGTGCAACAATCTGTGCAACAGTCTGGGCAACACTTACATCCTCCTTGCCAAGGAGGTTTGAGTTTGTCGACAAAAATAAAGGTGGACACACGACGTACTGAAAAGACACAATGTGAATCTCAGTAATTCTGTTGCACTGAGTTCCTACTGCAGAGCCGGCATTTTTAACTTGGTAAATATAAACTATTTGTGATACATTTTACATAAGTACTCTATTGTTCAACATGGAAGTAATGTGATTACTCTCAAGTCATAGATTTCTTAATCATTTATTATTTAAGTGTACTGTATAATCAAAACACAATGTCTGCAATCATTCCCATTCACTGGATATCAATCAGACATACTGTCCCAGCAGAGCTTGTCTAAAAAAAAAAAAAAAAACCTCCAAATTAAAAAACCCACTGAAAGTCTCACATCACCACCTGTAAAAGATAGCAATGTGACACCTTATATTTTATCATGACGACTAGCAGACAAATATATGACCTAAAGAATAATCATCTATACTTTGGGTGTAGCTCACTGGTGCATTTTTAGACATTTTTAGATGACAAAAGTTCTTTGACACAGAGGAATTAGTTTTGACAGAAATTTGCTGAACAGGCTTCACTTGCTAGTGGATCAATTCCTTGTTGATGTCATGAGACTTGTTGATCATGGTGATATACAATACAACACCAGAGCAAATAATGGCATAATATCAATTCTGAACAATATTATTAATAACACTGACACTGTCCCTTGTTGAAATTAGTCTTGTGAGGCCTGTGTCTGTTTGTGTTCCTCTGTACAGAAGCTATTACTATCCTGGCACAGATGGCTAGCTACAATCCACTGCGTTGGTGCAGGACACCTCAGTCTGGCAATAGAGGATCAATTGAGATCTGGTCTGCCTCTTCTTTCATCCAGCTATCTGCAAACACGAACAATCCCCCTTTCCTACAGCATGCTATGATAGAAACAGGTGGACTTAACATTGGCCATGACTTGTTTTTTTATAACACACATGGTGGAGGATGAGCAGCACTGGCCAATAGTTAGAAATGTTTACTGCAGAGTCAATGTCACTTCACTGTTCAGTCACGAGAGGACAAGGAGTACACAAACACCAGTCACCAATAGTTCATGCAGCTACCGGCAATATCAAGCCTTGTGCTGGCTGATGTGCCCGTTTTGTTAGGAGTCTGACCAGAGCTAGCAAGAGCAACAGCTAAACAGTTAGCTAGTCAATGCTAGCGGTTAGCCGCTAGCTTCCATCGGCTTTATCTTTGACTAGTACACTTCTGCTAACATGCAACGATGGCCATGTATCTAACATGGCTAACGTGTTGCCGGCGCTGTAGCTAGCTTCCTTGCTAGCTCGAATCCTAATAAAACAGTCTGCCGTTAATTTCTCGATAGCGGGCGTCGAAGCCGCATTAGCTAGCGTCTAAATGCCTTTTACTACTTGGGACTAGTACTGCTTCCTTTCTGGTGCCAAGGAGAAGAAGAAGAAAAGACCGAAGAAGGAGGGCGGGATACGCTTCTTCGGTGGTATAATGGCGGCGACAGACTAAAAGTTAATATTAGCTATCTCCCCCAGTCGAAATCCTCCATACATGAGTATCAGTCTGCAATATGTCCCCGAAAAAGTAGATTTCGTGCACAATAAGTAAAATTAATTAATAAAAACTCACCGCTCTGACACGTTACTGGCCGAGGAAATAGGACAACTTCAGTTTTTTCTGCACGTTAGAAGGCTCGACGTGATTCGCTGGATGGGTCACTTCATACACCAATAGTGTTCGAGTACACATCATACCGGCAGTTTGTAATGTCAAAGCGCGCCAGCGACAGCAGCAGGGTCAGGACAGACATGCTACTGGGAAACTGAGATACTTGTACTAACACTCCACTACGTTTCAGACGAAAATGTGCTTTATAGTTAATTGCACAACATGCCTCTGAGTACTCTGCAGCTAAACGTGTAAATATGTAGCCTATATAGTTTGAAGCATATTGTTGTGGGTTGGTTAAATAGATCAAATTGATCCAACTTGAGTGGCTACAATATTGAGTTTGTAGCTCTAGAGTTCTTAACTGCATCACACCAGTCATCACTGGCAATTAAAACTTGAATCATGAGGGAAGGTGTTGTGAAAAAAAAATAGGGCGACCAAACATCTTGTTTTCCCAGGAAGTGTCCTGTTTTCACGTCCTGTCTTGGCCGTCCTGGTTGTGTTTCATAAAGTGATGAAAATGTCCTGGTTTTAAATGTATTGAAATTATTCAAGGATTCAAGGTCTTTATTGGTCACAAACACAATGAAATAGTATAACACACAATGAAGTGTATTGTGAACCTGTTCCACACCGAAACAATAATAAAGAATAAGACACACAATAAATAAATATATATATATATACGTATATATGTTGTTGTTGTTGTTTGTGAGTGTGTGTGTGTGTGTGTGTGTGTGTGTGTGTGTGTGTGTGTGAAGGCCAAGATTAGAATCGGCCTGGGTGGAAATTTCAGGATCACAATCAGAATCTCTTCATTGTCATCGTACCAGAAGCACGAAATTTGAGAGATTTCAAGATTCTGATCGAGGTCAGCAAGTCAAATTCCAACCTGGGCCGGCCAAGAACAGAATTACAATATGGGCCAGGTCGGTGTCAAGATTCCAATCTGGGTCGGACAGGATCAGAATTGTGATCTGGCCAGCCCACAGAGAGAGAGAGGGAGAGAGATAGAAATACGCAAAATAAATAAATCAAATAAACATTTTGTGTGAAGAGCAAAGAGAAGGATGACTTGCAGAGCCAAAGTGTCCTCACATGCATTTATAAGCTTATTATGGGAGCTTTACTTTAAAAATCAGTTTTGAAGTGTAGGCAGCAAAAACAACGGAGCAGCACGAGTGCAAAACCACAGAACATGCCACCGAATTTAACAGAAATGTTAATAATAGTATAAATCCATTATCATTGAATTTAATAGTGTAATTATAGAAAAGTGTTATTTTTAGAAACCACACAAGAGCTGTTTGGGTTGGGATTACCCTGTATAACCTATAGCACATACAAACTACAGAAACTTTTTGAAAACATGTGAGTTGGTAAGATGAATGAATTTACAGTTAATTCAATTTATTCTTATTTCTGTATAAAACATGTAATATTAAAACTTCCAACAACAGTGGTAATGAGCAATGTGAGCGTATTGCTTTTTCCTATTGTACTGTGCCAAAGTTTCAGAGCTCTTCGGATGTTTCGATTCTCATCCATCACATAAAACCATCAGGAATTCACCTGATCATCCTGAATTCATTCTGGAACATGACAACAAACCGACACATCCAGCCAGGATGTAGGCTGGATTACATGAAGAGACCGAAGCAGCACAGAAGACACTGAGACAGAAAGCAGAATTCTTTCCCATTCTTGCTTGATACACAACTTCCGTTGATCAACAGTCCGGGGTCTCCGTTGTTGTATTATGTGCTTCATAATGCAACACACATTGTCAGTGGGAGACAAGTCTGAACTGCAGGCAGGCCAGTCTAGACTTCCAAAACCAATTTGAAATGAGGATGTGTCAGACAACAGCACACTCGTCCACATGGCATCAGTCCATCTCAGATGAGCTCAGGCCCAGAGAAGTCGGCGGCGTAGTAGAGTCTTAACTTGCACTTATAGATGCAGTAATGACCTGTATTAACTGTCAGTAGTTTTCTGAAGTGTTCCTGAGCCAATGCAGTAATATCCATTACAGAATGATGTTGGTTTTTAATGCAGTGCCGCCTGAGGGATTGAAGGTCACAGGCATTCAGTGTTGGTTTTCAGCCTTGTCCCTTACATGCAGAGATTTCTCCGGATTCTCTGAATCTTTTGACAATGTTGTGGAATATGGATAGCAAAGTCCCTAAATTCTTTGCAATTTTGAACTGTTGTTCTTCAACTGTTGGACTATTTGCCCATGCAAGTTTTCACAAAGTGGTGAACCTCACTCCATCCTTGCTTGTGGCCGACTGAGCCTTTCAGGATGCTCCTTTTATACCCAATCATGACACTATCACCTGTTTCCCATTAACCTTTGGAATGCCCCGGGTGTTCTTTGAGCATTCCATAACTTTCCCAGTCTTTTGTTGCCCATGTCCCAACTTTTTTGAAAGGTTTTGCCGACATTAAATTCAGAATAAGCATACATTTACTTGAACTGTATTAATTCAGTCAAGCAGAGCGGTCAAAGATACAAACAGAAACTTACCAAAAGCTTAGTTGTGTGAAAATGGCCAACGGACATATAACGAAATATTAGCATTGCTGTATGTATACTTTTGGTTTTATCATATTATCAGAAGACATACAATCAATCAAAAGAACCAAAATATTGTTTTTTGTGACGAGACATGTGTTTCAATGACTCCATTGTAGGAAACTAGGAGTCATTGGAAACTCAAGACTGCCTTGATATACATGGTCTTTACAAATGTGTGTAAACTTTTGTTCACAACTGGAGATAGGAATGAAAAGCACATACTACTGTAAAATGACCAGCATCTGTTTGGCTAGTTGAACAATTTTTGAGCACTCAACTTATATTTCTAGGCTAAACAGAGTGTATAAGACATCCAGCACTCTTGATGTAACCACAATCTGAGTTTGTTACTGCAGCTCTTCAATGACTAGCTGCTTTTTAACTTTTTCATTTAAGTAACACCGTCTATGACCTTCCACTTAAATACCAACATTGATTTATTCAGTATACACAATGTGGCTGAATTCTGCCACATCAAGGGTTGAAGAAGTTACTGGAAGTACAGACTAGGCCCCTCCACTCATTTCCCAGACTTACACAGTGTCCCTGTGTGCACCATTGGCTGATTGGGAAGATGAGCAGGTCCTCCAGACCGCTTAACCTGACTCCAAATGATATTAAAGAGCCGGCTGGGCATTCGGCCAGTGAGGGCAAGGCCACTTAGGCTCCACAGAAACTGCACAATCTGCTCAATGCATCACAGAATAACATTATTCAACCTTGACATATCATATCACCAAGACAACCGCTTTGAAGACACGCTTTTCATTGAAGGTTATGGTTCAGAGACTTTAGGTCCCGTTTGAAGGGAGATGTCTAGCCATGCAGCATCGATTGCTCGGGCGCATTTCTTGTGTTATTTTCTTAACATCCTCCTCTCTTAAAGCTGCAGTTGCAGTTGTGATTGTGTTAAAGTGGTAATAGCCTAATAATCATGTAGAGAGAGGGCTATTTGGAAGCTGAACTGAAGGTTTTATTCACATCAGCTGATCGTGATCATTTTTTCCTGGGTACTTTGAGGACTTCTCATCCATGCTGACTTAAAATCAGAAGTTCCCTACAAACAGCAGTTGAGAAAAATGGCATACATGTCAGATACTAACAATAATATGATATGGATGGGAACGCTGACCTTGAGTAATGGAGCTCAGGTTATACACTGTATATGGAGGAGATCGAACAACTCCACAAGTGTATGGTTCAATTTGCCCATAACTTTTGTCAAGGCTGAAATATGTCAGTGAACACTGGGTAAATGTTTTAATGAAATTCAGATTTCTAGATGTTTTCTAACGACTGAATACTTCACTCTCCATAAAGCGCTATCATCGGGTCAAGATCTGAACTTGCCAGAGCCCACGAACAATGTCCGCTGAACAAGGCGAAAAATGAAAGGAGGGAGTTCATGGACACCCTGAGACTTCATTAAATCATTCATTAAAACTTCTTTGGTCCTTGTTCAGTGACTATTAAGAAACTCAACCATGTCTGAGACGTGTGCTGAAGGTGCTTAAGTCATGAAGTCTAATGTGACCTGAATTTAATGTGACATTGGTCTTTCTGATATTAGTGACTGTGTCAAAAAAAAGGGACAATCAACGAAGGAGAGTCACTGAAAAGCACCACAAATACAAAGCAGTAAAACTACATGTTGAGTGTCTGAACTACACCACAAAACCCACCTGTTTTTTAGGCTTTCTTTGTTTATACACATGACAAATGAGTAATCAATAAACATGTTATTGTAACGTCATTATGACTTGTCTTCTAATCTAAACATCGCTAAGTCGTTCAGGTAGAACTCGTCAGGAATGTGACACAGGAACAGTTTCATCACTTTATTAATGAGTTTAATTATTTATACCAACAAACAAAAACTGTCTCTCCCTCCATCCCTCTCTCTTAATTATCTCCTTTATCCAACTGTTCTCTTCCCAACAATGACATTTCACCCTCGGTCAAGGGTGGCAAAAGAGCAGGGTCACAGCAAATTAAAAACAAAGTGTGACAAATTAGAAGATGGAAAAAAAAAAAAGAAAGAAAAAAACATTAAAATAGCACATTTAGCCAGCTGTTCTTTTGGCAAGAAGTACAGAGAATAATGTCCATGGTCGCCAGTGCGCATACAAACACATACATTCCCTTCAGCTGAGCTGTGTGAAACTCACCATCTGTGAAGCGTACTTACAGGTCAGACCTGCTACACCAACATGACACTCCAAGCAAAAACAGGAAACAGTCAGACAAAGGAGATGATACACGTCAGTGGACAGATTGACTTTCCCCTTTTCTCCAGTCACACACGCAAACACACACACGCACGCACACACTCGTTGATCCGTTCTCCCTCCCTACACCACGACCCCACAGATCCAGAGGCTTGTAACATTCCCTTCACACCGAAGTTAAATGAAAAATTGGAGTTCCACCTGTTGGCTAGCATGCGTGCCTGCATACCTACAACACCACTGATTGGAAAACACACTCCAATATCTGGATCCCAGTACAGTATCTTGGATGTGAAATAGTTTTGCATGTGACACTGCTGAACTAAAATCTGGAATTGGAAAAAAAAAAAAA